CCCCAAAACCCCAAAACCCCAAAACCCCAAAACCCCAATCAATTGAACAGATATTGAAAATAAAATTAAGGCTGAAATTGAATATGGACTCTAACAAGAAACTAAGCTCTTCAGTAGACTATACACAGGAATCTCCAGTAAAAGCTTTCATGTATGGCACTTCTTCACTACCAGAGATCTCTTACCAGGCTGATGCAATCAACAAAAGTCAGGAATTCGATGGGAACAATATGTCTTTAACCAACGGAGCAGGTTTTCAAAAGAAGAAAAATTTGAAGAAAGGGAGAAAGTTTGCCAATAATTACTCAAACTCTCGAAAAATAGTGGATGAAGAAGGTACAGAGATGTTTAATGCTCGCATGCAGAACAAAACTTCACAGATTCAGATGAATCTCGTCGCTAATAGAATTAAAAGACTTGAATTTGAAGAACGAAGAGCTCGAGAAAAAATTCTAAAAGCCAAATTTGCTGCTGAAAAGATCCAGAAAATTCGCAGCCAGAAGGAGACTGAAAGAAATCAGAAAAGAAAATTCCAGGAGATGCATAAGAGAAAGCTTGATAAGCTGCGTCATCATAACACTCTCGAAAGGTTAAAGGTGAGACAGCACATCCAAGATTTACAAAGCTACAACAGAGGTACTTACCGTTTTTAATTTCTATATAATTTCATAAAATTTTACCAAAATATAGACCAAAATCATCAGAAAAGACTAAAACTCAAAGAAGAGGTGAATAAAGCTCGTGAGTTAAACAAAGCTCTTCTGAAAGAAGAGAATGACTATATCCTCTCCTTAAGGAACAAAGTCAAAGGGGAGAAATCACAGAAGAAAACTCTCAGACAAAGGATGAAAAATCATATGTAAGTGTCTTTTCCACCTTAATTCTACGACCTTTTGCTAATATTATAGGGGAGTAATGCTTAAGAGTAAATACCATTCCCAGATTGGCCAATTCAGGAATAATGCTACACAGAATTATATAACCATACAAGAAATGGAGAAGAAGGAAAAAGAATTGTTAGATAGACTTAAGGTTACATTTAAATCCGTGGAAGACCAAGAAAATCAAGTCAAGAAGTTACAGAAGAATGGTAAAAAGAGGCCCTTGAAAAATGCCAAAAGTGTAGTAGCTCAATATATCTCTACTCCTTTGGTATCCAAGACTAACCCTGTTTTGGATAATCCTTTCCAAATGCAAAAGGATGCTCAGAGAAAATTATCTAATGCGATCTCACAAGGAAGCAACACGAATGGAAGAGCAAGGAATAATTCTGTTGGTCAACCTCACCAAATGGCTGAGACAGGACAAGAAAGAAAAGAGGAGAATCTCTAAGCTTGGTTAATCACAATACGTATTAATCCTATATGTATGTTCTAGAAAGGGGTTTTGGGGTTTTGGGGTTTTGGGG